TAGAACTGTTTCCTTTATGAATTCAGAAGATAATAAAACAAATTGGAAGAAATACCCCTTCAAATTCCTCAACAGGGCATGTATGGAATTATCGTGTGAAAGGCAGCTTCCTGGCTAAGACCAGAAGGGAACGTGGCGCCGCCGTGCAGGGGACTCCACCTGGTTTGCTCTCCAGGTGAGTGCCGACTGCAAGGGTGCTAAGGCTGCTACTGGTGGCATCTGCCATTCCAAGTCACTCTGTCTTACCCAGAGCTACTCCTGGCAGGTGTCAAACCATTGCTTCCTCTGAGCCCCAAACGAGTTGAAAGATACCAACAAAGTCTAAGATGATGGCTCACTCACGCTCAGACAAATTCCCTTCATGGGTCCATCAACAATTTCTGACTTACTAGTGACTTTCACTAATCACCTTCACTAGTGACCACACTGCTGAAGGATACTTTCAGTAGAGGGTACCTTAGAAAGTCACTGAAAATTCAACAAGGTGGTCTACTAATAAAAGTTTATCATACCAAGAACAGTAATAGCATTCTTCTCCATCACCAACAACCAACTGCAAACTGTAAAAACAACAAAGAGCACAGGTAGCTAGGGATAAGCGCCCCCTTTATGCTGCTTCCACATGGAGAAGAGCAAAAAACTTAGTGAGGAATGGAAAAGAACCAGTTGGTGAGACAAGCCACTTACCTATATGATAAAACTGAGTGCTATAAAGAAGCCTATTCCCCCAAAATTAATTTACAAACTCAATATAATCACAATCAAAATCCAAACGTGATTTCATATGGTACTTGACTCACTAATTGTAAAATTAATCTGAAGGACAAAATGCACACAAAATAATAAGGGAGGATTCACCCTATCAAATTGTTTAAAGCACATTATAAAGCTTAGGGATTTAAAACAATTTGATACTTATAGAACTTTAAAAAAAAGAGCAAATAAAGAATCCAGAAAAAAAATCCATTTGGCAAATGTAACATTTTGAATCAATGAAGAATGGCTGGATTAGTTAACAAAGGTGATGAGCCACCGGTTATATACTTTGTTAATGAGGAGCTAACCCCCTACCTGATACACTCACAAAATTTAGAGAAAAACAAAAATACTCTCCGAAAAAAGAAATCCAGATAGATCAAAGAGCTCTGTTTAAAAATGAACAAAACCAAGAAATAAACAAAAACCCATAAAAATATTAGAAGAAAATACAGGTAAATACATTTATAAGCTTGCATAAGGGAGATAGTTTCAAACAAGAAATAAATCACAAAAAGCCAGAAAACGTAAGTCAGAAAGCCACAAAGAAAAAAAAGACTGATAAACTTGACTCCATCAAAAATTAAGACCATTGGATAAAGAAAACATGGCATATATATACACAATGAAATAGTATTCAACTGTAAAAGAATGAAATTGTGTCTTTTGCAGCAACATGGATGGAACTGGAGGCCACTATCTTAAGTGAAAAACTCAGACACAGAAAGACAAATGCTGCACGCTCTCACCCATAAGTGGGAGCTGGATAACGTGCACACACGGAAGCAGAGTGTGGAACGATGGACAATGGAGACTCACAGGGGTCGGGACTGGGAGGTGGATGACAGGAGGTCACCGGGGGTACAATGTGCATTGCTCTAGTGATGGATGCACCAAAGGTCCCGACTTCACCACAATGTAATATACCAATGTACAATTGCACTTGTACCCTGTGAATATACACAAATAAAAAATAGGGGGAAGGC